TTTTGCCTTAAAACAGAGCAGGAATGCGTTTTTTTTGTGTTAAATTGTTTAACCCTTTAAAGCCTGATCCAAGAATAAAACAAAACAGAAAATTACATTTTTTTTTCTTTAAGTCTATATTTGGCCTTTTAACAAAATATGTAAAAAGAAAAAACAGAAATACATTTTTAATATTAATAATTTATTACTATGCGATAATTCAAGATTATTTTTTGTGTAGTCTCCTCCCCCTGTTATCAGGTGTATCTGATTGTGTAAATTAGAATTTTTAGCAAAGTTTTTACCATTAAATTATGCAAAAGGAGTCAGACGCAAAACATTTCAGAAACAGTATGAATCAGATAAGATACATTTGGCATTACAGGGTTAATTCTGGAGGCTTTCGAGCACCAAACTGTGTTCGACTGCATCCGGCTCCAGTTCCACCAGTTTTTATTAGTCTGTGTTCAGCTAATTCATTCGATTTCTCTCCAGTTTTTGTAGTTTTGTAGTTTTTTGATTAATTATTAATTAATTATAATGAATGTATTATTGATACACCAAAAAAGCGAAAAAGGATTAAAATGACCAAATATACACCAAAAAAACAGAACTAGGGCTAAAACTGACCAAAACATACAGCAAAATAGGCAAAACAAGGCTTGAAATTACCCCAAAATACTCCCAAGAAGCGAAATTAGAAATAAAAAGACCAGAACAAAGCCAAAAGAAGCTAAAATGACCTAAATAGAGCTCAAGCTAGGGAAAAATGACCAAATACACACCAAAAAAAAAGGCAAAAAACAAAGCTAAAAATGACCAAAAAATATCTCCCACCATTAAAAATAGATCTTAAAAAACCAGAACAATCCAGAGAAGAGATCTGGGACAACTTCCAGAGGCCTGCAGAGCCTTTTAAGGGCGTTTAATTATTCATGTCCTGCTCCCTGTTTTACACAGACAGGAGTCTGGCGCCCCCTGCTGGACATTACGCCAAACCGCACAGGAGCCTTTTTCTTCTTCTACTTCTTCTCCTCCCTCTACTTCTAATTCTTCTCTGACTTTAGCTTCTTCTACTTCTTATTGTACTTCTTCTTAACAAACAACTTTGAGGCCTTCAGTAAACTGTGGGCCCTTAATCCTTAGTTTCTAGAGTAATTAATCTGTTTTGTTTTTTATTTTTCAGTAGTTAAATGAAGATCTCTACTGAACTGAATTGTACGAAAAAACAAAACAAAAAAAAGTCAATAAAGGATTTTAAAAATCAAATCTTCTCCTTCTTCTCCTCCTTCTTCTAATTTAATAGTAATTTTAAAAATAGTTTTTTTCAGGAGTAAAATGAAGATCTCTACTGAACTGAATTGTTGGAAGAAAAACAAACAAACAAAGAAAAAGTCAATAAAGGATTATAAAAAATCAAATCTTCTGCTTCTTTCCCAGTGGTCTGTGTGACAACATGATCCAGGACATCATCTACAGCTACCTGGTTCTTCCCAACCGGCTCACCATCCCCCTGGTGGGGGACGAGCAGCTGGCCAGACTCCGCTTCCCCATCCCCACGGTAACGCTCACCATCACAAACACAAACATAAATACCAACATAAACATAAACACAAACACAAACATAAACGTAAACACAAACACCAACACAAACAGAAACACCAACATAAACACCAACATAAACACAAACACCAGCATAAACATAAACACCAACATAAACACCAACATAAACATAAACACCAACATAAACATAAATACCAACATAAACACCAACACAAACACCAACACAAACACCAACATAAACATAAACACCAACAACAACATAAACACAAACATAAACACAAACATAAACACAAACACCAACACCAACATAAACACAAACACCAACACAAACACCAACATAAACAACAACACAAACAGAAACACCAACATAAGCAACAACATAAACATAAACACAAACATAAACATACACACCAACATAAACATAAACACCAACATAAACATAAACACCAACATA